CAGGCAGGACTGGCCTAGGGGTATTTTAAAGGGGTTTTAAATTAAATTTTTAGTAGAAGCGGCCAAATTTAAATAGTTATTTTTAATCTTTTTAAATTTTGTATTGTATCACTGTTTTAAACTGGCTGTAAGCCGCCCTGAGTCCTCCGGGAGAAGGGCGGGGTATAAATTTAATAAAATCTCAAAATCTCAAATCTCATCAGACACGGCTGGGGAGGCCTCTTTGAGATCCCCCCAACTCAAAGGAAGAACCAGCACAAGATTCGTCCTTCTGACCACAGCAAGGAAAAAAATTCTCCTCCCCCTCCTCCCCATCTGATTCCCCAATGAGCAAGACAGGCGTTGCTGGGGCTTCGCCCGAGTCCCCCTCCCCGGCCCCAACCCTCCTGCTCCTGAGGGCCCTCCTGGCTTGGCCTCTGAACCTCCAGGGCTTGTCCGGAGGAAGGCTGACTTGAGAAAGGACCACGAGCCCTGCCCATCTGCAGGCCCCCTTGAGGCCCGGCACAAGCGCCGCTTGGCTCCCACTGCGCTACCTTCCACTTGGAGAAAAGGTCAGCAAGGAAGCCGTTCACGGCCTTCTCAAAGTAAAGGTCTCCTGCAAAGGAAAGAGAACCAAGGGTGAGAGGGGAAGCCCGGCCGCCCCGGCAGAGAGCCTGCCCCCCTCTCCAGCAGAAAGCTGTTGGCTATTTCACCCGGCACGGGACAGAGCCCCGGTGCAGAGAGGGGCATCAGTTCCTGCTCACTCCTGGCTCCCCTCAAGCCCTCCTAAGGCCCCAGGCCCACCCTTTGAGGGGCAGCTTCCTTCCACGTGACTCCATCCTTAGTGGCAGAGCCTGGCTGTGGATTGGCCTCTTTGGGGACGGCCAGTGGGGCTCCTCTCTTGGACTCTTCGGACTCAAGTTACTCTACCTGGCTTTGGGGGTCTTCTTGTACCTGTAGGCCCTCCTGCACCTTTTCACCTATACTGGGAGCTGCTTTTGCAGCCAAAGCCCTGAGCCTGACCCACATTGGTCCACTGGAGCCCAGGAGCAGAGCTCCTGCTTGTTTGGCAGAGGCCTCAAAGGGTGGCATCTGTGGGCAAAACGGAGATCCGAGTATGCCTGAATCTCTGGAAGGGGCTGAGACAACTTTCTGGTTAATTATCCACCAAGAAAATAGCTTCCTGCTTTCCTTTGTGATTCCTTTAGGCCATTTTTAACTGCCTTATCATTTATGTTGCTTTTTTTAAAAAACAAAAACAAAAACCCAACCCTCTTCAGGTAGACAAATTAAACAACGCCAACAGATGTTTCTAGTTCCTCATCACTGTTGAAGTCTCCAAGAAAGGAAAAGTCCTTCCCTTGCCATCTGCCCCCTTTCTCCCTCAAAGGAGAGTGAAGATGTTTTGGGCTGGGATGGGTTAGTTGCCAGGCAACCCGAGGCCAGACTGAGGCGGGCAAGAGCCGAAGGATCCTCACCATAGATGTCAAAGTCCCACATTTCGTAGCTCATCTGGATGAAGATGTAAACCATGGCGGACGTCGAGCGGAACACCACCTGCAAGGCACCCAGAAGGGAAGACCTCAAGGGCTGGACAGTCACTGGTCTGAAATGATACAGGGTCTCCTGCTTGAGCAGGGGGCCAGACTATAAGGCCTCCAAGGTCCCTTCCAGCTCTGTTCTGACCTGATCTGGTTTGCTCTGAACCAGCAGGACCAAATCTGGTTTGCTCTGGGGTTCCTGAGGCTCCGTCTCGGGTCTGCTGGATTCAGAACTGGAAGCTACTGGTGGGATTGCAGCGGAAAGGCTGCCGCAAGAACACCCACACTCACAACTGGGAGAGCAAAAGTCTTGTTCCAAATGTTTTTTTTCCTGTTTAAGATTTGCCTTAATGGCAGGCTGTTTTCTGGCTCCCCTGCTGTCTGGAGGAGTCCTTCTCATATATCTGAAGGCCGCAGGGACTTCTTTCCTCTTCTTACTCTCTGCCATCCTGGGGTCACTGGAGTCTCCTGCCCACCAAGGGCCGAGATGTTAGGCTGGCCTTGGGCACAGACTGAGCTGCCAGGGCCCCCATGAGCTGCCCCCTCCCCGTCCTGTCATCAAGCCAATAGCCGTGCTTGATGTTGGCTCCCACCCTGGAGCTCCCAGGGGAGAAAGAGGTGAGTTGCAAGAAACAGCCATGTTTAGTGTGTGTGGTCAAATCTCTCTCTCTCTTTCAGAGGGAGACTGACCAGAGATCGATCCGGCTGCTGAACAAGGGAGGCCAAGGGAGTCTCCCAAACAGGCCACCGCCATTACTGTTGCCCTGGCCTCCTGATGTCCCTGGCCGGCACCTGAGCCTTCAGCCACCAGACTCCTCGAGAGGTTTGAAAGTGACTGAATAGGCCCACCCACGGTGCCACTGGTGAAAAGGCTCCCCTTGTGGCTCTTCTGCCATGCCGTGAAAGGTGGCTGGCAGGAAGCGGTGCCTGCCTGCCCCAAAAAGGGTGGGGAAATGGAGTTGGTGGGCAGAGGAGGAGAAAGGAGAAATATTGCCATCTCCTTGAGAGCCTGCTGAGGCCATCCTCTTGCTTGGCAAACTCAAACTTGGCTCCCCTGGCATTGCTACACGATTCCCTATTTCTCAGGTCTCCCTTCTCTATCGAACGGAGGCACAATTCCTCTCCCTGTACAGAATGCAGAGCAAAGACTGACCACAGGCCGGAGACCTCAGCCTGCCCTTGGATGGGAAGAGGGCAATTTCCCACCACGCCCTCTGAGGGCCCAGAGCAGAATGAGCTTAATGCCAAGGACAACAGTAGGAGCAGCTGTTTAGTCTGAGAGAGCTGATTCCTAGTAGGGGATCATGGAAATACAGCAACATTTGCCCAGCAAGGCTGAGCCACGGCCACGTGCCCCTTGAGCAGGCCACGGGAACTGAGGGGGGCCCTTAGCACCCTCCCTGCCCCAGGTAACCCTTCCCACAGAAGGAAAGCTGGGAAGCGGCTACTCTGGTTATTAACTGCAGGGATTCTGAAGCTCGGCGTTTGAGAAACGGAAAGGAAATGTCCCAAGTCAGAGACCTACCCGAGTATCTTCGCTGATGTAGCCACAGGTGACTTTCTCACTTTTGACCCACAGTTCACCTGCCTGAGCCCTGAAAGCAAACCAAGAGAGAGGAGTGGAAACAAGGGGGAAACCTTGCTGTGAAAGCTGGATGTGAAAAATGGAGAAGAGGTGAATTTGAATACTGGAGTATTTTTCTCCCAAATCCCAAATCCAAGGCCTTCCTGGGCTCCTGCTGCTTTTATCAGAAGGACAAAGATGCCCTCATTATGCCAGCTCCCCTCTTTTTCAACTTGCTTGATGTTGTGAGATGTGTAGAAAGGGGAGGGATTTGTAATGTGACACAGTTGCTTTCATTAACCTAAGCCACTTGACCTCACTGCAGGAGCGCCTGTCCAAATGTATTTTCCTATGACTGGCAATCAATGCTTAAATTCATCAGTCTGATTTGCCTACATGTGCCTTCGCTAATTATCAAAATCTCACCATGGCGCCTTTTAAACCTCCTTATTTAAACAGAAAATAAATTCAAGGGTTCACTCAAAACTCCCATTCCCAAGGAGCTCTTCAGCTGCCATTCATCCTGGCCGGCTTACTCAGTGACTACCGTGCTAAGATGCCAGGGTGTTGGCGGTAGTCAATTGAAAGACTGCTGTTCCAGCTGTGCCACCCTGGGCAAAGCAAGCACCAAGTCCTTCTCCCTGAAATCTAGACCAAAGGGGAAGAACTGAGAGCTTGGCAGATGCCACCTCCCTCCTCTGGTGAGATCTGGGCCCTTATTCTGGGACAAAGTTTCCCTGAAGTAAATGGGACTGATTTGGGGTGGGAACTTCGCTAAGAGGGAAAAGCTGGGGACCACAGAGAGTACCCCGGTAACGGAAACAGCCAAACTCTGTCCTCCAAGGTAAGACTTGATTATTTGGAGACAGACATTCATTCCTGATAAAACTTCAGCTTCCTTCCTAAGCGCGCCATGGCATCGGACCTGGTTACCTCCGAGACCGCCTTCTGCCACAGATTACCCCCCACCGGCCGATACGCTCCCACAGAGAGGGCCTCCTCAGGGTGCCGCCAACC